CCGTCAACATGTTTACAACATGTATACACTGCCGTCAACATGTGTACAACATGTAAACACTAACGTCAACATGTGTACAACATCTATACACTAACGTCAACATGTGTACAACATGTATACACTAACGTCAACATGTGTACAACATGTATACACTGCCTTCAACATGTGTACAACACGTATACACTACCGTCAACATGTGTACAACATGTATTCACTGCCGTCAACATGTGTACAACATGTATGCACTGCCGTCAACATGTGTACAACATGGATACACTGCCGTCAACAAGTGTACAACATGTATTCACAAACGGCAACATGTGTACAACATGTATACACTACCGTCAACATGTGTACAACATGTATACACTGCCGTCAACATGTTTACAACATGTATAAACTGCCGTCAACATGTGTACAACATCTATACACTAACGTCAACATGTGTACAACACGTATACACTACCGTCAACATGTGTACAACACGTATACTCTGCCGTCAACATGTGTACAACATGTATAAACCAACGTCAACATGTGTACGACACGTATACACTAACGTCAACATGTGTACAACATGTATACACTAACGCCAACATGTGTACAACATGTACTCACTGCCGTCATAAAATAAAATAGTTATTATATCTGTTTAGTTCGTACAAGCACGTAATATTTTCAATAATAAAATGTTGATTAAAAAACTGCTCCCTTTCTAAATCTTAATAATAATGCATGAATACATAAAATCCGTTTACTCAGAAATAAACACAGACCTGTCAGTATGAGGCAATTGCTGTCCTTACATGCTATATTTCCATCAACATCACAAATATATAATACACAAAGAGTATGTTTACAGAAATATAATTCACATAAAATCTTAAATACATTCATGTCACAAAGTACATCTATGGAAATAACAAACAAAAACGTATTGTAGTTGTATAAAGGGATTGTTATACTTTGAATGAGCATATGTATTTGAATGGCATAGCTACTTGAGAAACCATTTTAACAATAACTTACACGCTACGTAAAGTATATGCTTATGTCGGTGCAATTGACATAATCAATTCAGGTGGAATTCTATTTTACCACTGGGGTATTAAGTTAATTATCATCAAAGAAGTAAATTGTCAAAATGTATTCCATTAGTATATTCAAAGTCAATAAGTCAGTTTCCTCCGAAATATAATGAACATGTACGTCATGACACGATATTGGAAAAATATGCGTTGAAGGAAAATCAATGCCCTGTCTGATTAAGTGACTCTACCCATTAAGTATTTATTTATGCTAATCAGGAACCTCTTTAGCATTTCTGTTAAAGTGAATGAAATATATGCATGGCTGCGAGCTCACATATACTTGCCACATGGTTGCCACTACATGTATAGCTTGCCACATGGTTACCCCTTCAAATATGACTTGCCACAGGGTTGCCCCTACACGTATAGTTTACCACACAGTTGCCACTTCATGTATAGCTTGCCACACAGTTGCCACTTCATGTATAGCTTACCAGACATTTGCCGCTCCATATATGGCTTACCACACAGTTGCCACTCCATGTATAGCCTGCCACATGGTTGCCGCTCCATGTATAGCTTGCCACACATTTTCCACTCCATATATAGCTTACCACACAGTTGCCACTACATGTATATTTTACCACACAGTTGCCACTACATGTATAGCCTGCCACATGGTTGCCGCTCCATGTATAGCATACCACATGGTTGCCACTCCATATATAGCTTACCACACAGTTGCCACTACATGTATAGTTTACCACACAGTTGCCACTACATGTATAGCTTGACACATGGTTGCCACTCCATGTATAGCTTACCACACATTTGCCACTCCATATATAGCTTACCACACAGTTGCCACTACATGTATAGCTTACCACATGGTTGCCACTTCATGTATAGCATACCACACTGTTCCCACTCCATGTATAGTTTGCCACATGGTTGCAACTTCATGTATAGCATACCACACAGTTGCCACTACATGTATAGCTTATCACACAGTTGCCACTTCATGTATAGTTTACCACACAGTTGCAACTTCATGTATAGCTTGCCACATGGTTGCCACTTCATGTATAGCATACCACACAGTTGGCACTACATGTATAGCTTACCACACGGTTGGCACTCCATGTATAGCTTACCACATGATTGCCACTTCATGTATAGCTTGCCACACGGTTGCCACTTCATGTATTGCATACCACACAGTTGCCTCTCCATGTATAGCTTACCACACAGTTGCCGCTCCATGTATAGCATACCACACAGTTGGCACTACATGTATAGCTTATCACACAGTTGGCACTACATGCATAGCTTGCCGCACAGTTAGCACTCCATGTATAGCTTACCACACAGTTGGCACTCCATGCATAGCTTACCACACAGTTGGCACTACATGTATAGCTTACCACACAGTTGGCACTCCATGTATAGCTTGCCACACAGTTGCCACTTCATGTATAGCTTACCACACAGTTGCCACTTCATGTATAGCTTACCACACAGTTGACACTACATGGATAGCTTACCACACAGTTGGCACTACATGTATAGCTTGCCACACAGTTGCCACTACATGTATAGCTTACCACACAGTTGGCACTCCATGTATAGCTTGCCACACAGTTGCCACTCCATGTATAGCTTACCACACAGTTGCCACTTCATGTATAGCTTACCACACAGTTGCCACTTCATGTATAGCTTACCACACAGTTGCCACTACATGTATAGCTTACCACACAGTTGGCACTCCATGCATAGCTTACCACACAGTTGCCACTCCATGTATAGCTTGCCACACAGTTGGCACTCAATGTATAGCTTACCACACAGTTGCCGCTCCATGTATAGCTTACCACACAGTTGACACTACATGTATAGTTTGCCACACAGTTGGCACTCCATGTATAGCTTACCACACAGTTGGCACTACATGTATAGCTTGCCACACAGTTGCCACTACATGTATAGCTTACCACACAGCTGCCGCTCCATGTATAGCTTGCCACACGGTTGCCATTCGATGCATAGCTTGCCACATGTGTGCCACTTCATGTATAGCTTACCACACAGTTGCCACTCGATGCATAGCTTGCCACATGGTTGCCAATACATGTATAGCTTACCACACAGTTGCCACTACATGTATAGCATGCCACAAAGTTGCCACTCGATGCATAGCTTGCCACGTGGTTGCCACGTCATGTATAGCATACCATACAGTTGCCACTTCATGTATAGCTCGCCATTGCTACTGCATGTAACGGGCGACTAACGGGATCGGGAAGTCGGGCTCTATGGCTGTCTTGCTGCATGTCATCGTATCCCAATTGCGTAGATCGATGCTCATGATGTAAATATTGTCTGGTCTAGAGTCGAGTATTTACAGACCGCCTTCATATGGCTCTAATATTGCTGGGTGCGGTATAAAACAACAGCAAAAGCATGTTTTGATTAAAATAACTATATATACGTACAGGAAAACAAGAACTTTGTTGTTTGGTTAAAAATAGACCTCATATTAATGTTAATCAGTTATCTTAAAAGCATCTAACAAACACTGCCAATCTGATGATTAACTATCCTGACACCATTCAAAATTTTCAACAGTAAAACCATAAATTAAATCCCGTTAATCAGAATCCCACTTGTTCCGGGATCGAGCGTTTGAGTGGGTTTGGTTTCAGGCCGCTTTGAACAGTATTTCAGTTGAATCACGGCGTGTCAGTTTACTATGGGAGGAAATCCCGCACTAGAGCAGGCCTTCTTCCACTTTGATGAAACCCTCGAAAACGAGCACTTTGCTGACAAACCTGTGAATCAGGGATTCGAACCCACTACTATACGTTTGTGTCACGCCCAACGAATTGTGGCGCCGTAGACGACTCAGCCCCATGCCCTCCTTTTCGTCCAAGACGTGAAAACATCTATACATAGATATAGGGACTATACTACGAACTCATAATTCGTTGATCGGGGCAATTTTACAGAGCAAGCCACCGTCTGGATGATCAGGTTTAAACTGTATGTATTCAAGCAGCACCCATCAGGCCCAGAAATGAAACACTCATGTTCATGCTCATGTTAATAGCCCGAGCCCTTGCTGTTCGGTTTATTAAATTTCTCTTTCTACTCATCTTATCTGATAATCTTACTTGTTATGCTGCATCCTCGTTGACTTTTAAATAAAGAGTCTGCGCAACCTATTAGCAACCTTGAGCAGCTACTGTTCCGACGATAGCGATCTTTGTAACGACTTAGAAATCCAATACTTACATGGAACAGCAGAGCCCGGTGCATACGATCTGCAAATGTCATAATAACTTTCCATATTGATTCCATATTAATGAAAACATTTACACCTATAAACGCACACACACACAAACACACACACAACACACACACAACACACACTCAAACACGCGCACACAAACACATACACACACACACAACACACTCAAACACGCACACACAAACACAACACACGCACACACAAACAAACACACACACAAACACACACAACACACTCAAACACGCACACACAAACACAACACACGCACACTCAAACAAACACACACAACGCACACAAACACATACACACACAACTCACACTCAAACACACGCACACACTAACACACAGACACATACACACACAACACACACAAACACATGCACACACAAACACACACACAAACAAACACAAATACACACACAATCACATACACACACAAAAACACAAAAACAAACACAAAAACAAACACATACACACACATAACGTCAGAAATCATCAGTATGGGGATGAAATACGTCAGCTTAGCCAATTTCCTCAGCACGTCAACATAAATGCATAGATGAGCGTGGGCACCGTAAACACGTCCCATTGTCCTCCTCCTAACACCCCTCTAACTTTCATTTCTTTGACTAATGTCTTTCACCAGTGATATCTACATTTGATCCTGTGATATTTAGTTGTTGCCTCGTCTGGCCCGTCTCCTTCCAAGTAACACCTTTGCTCCTAGCAAATAAGTTTTCCCTGCATATTGATTCTTAACGACAAGGAAATCACTGACATTTCATTTGGGGCGTTTTCGATCGAATCCTACAGTCCATGCATCAGGAGGGTCATGTGATTCGCCGGGTCGGCCACAAACAGTGTAGGAGGGAAAGGCGTCAAATACCAGCTTCCAGCGGGCAAACAGGCCCATCGGCATCACGCGCGCGGACGTGAAAGTGAGCAATCGCGCGGACCTGGGAGGAAACAGCCGAGGACACCAAAACGAGCGGACGTGAGTGCAGACAAGTTTAAGTTGGAAGGAAGGCCCTATTTGAAACATGAATTGCTACAAGCCTCAATAACACAAACAGGACTACTTTGTACAAGTTTAAGACTGAGGATCCGCGCTTGGTTACTTGTCCAAAGTTCTGGATACATCCCCAGCACTCGAAAAGAAAGTGGTGTTCGTTTGTTGAAATTCATCGACAGTCAAAACACAATTGAGTTTATTTTTTTCTAAAAGAAGACCGTCATCGTTGCATATATTTTGCTCGTCTATTACACGATGACTCCCATGAATAGTTCAAGAATCGGTGCTTTCTTTGTTTGTGTGGCTCTAATAACAACACGAGGTTTTGCAGGTAAGTTACCTTAAATATTTAATAGAATTCTGGTGTCATATTACCTGTTTCAGCGTTATAGTCACGATAACAGCGTTCTCGATAACATAGAAGTTCAGTGTCGATTTCTGTTGATATAACATCTGTATGCACATAAGTACATTGCGTACTGCTTTCTCATTGGTAACAAAGCATTTTCATTACGATTTAGTTAACGGTATACATGTATATCATTAAATGAGTATATAGTTTAACATTTAGAAAAGGGATTGCGTACAGCCTAGTATCGAAAAAAATGGCTTTAGTGTTAACTGATTCAAACGTTTCCAGTAATGATGAAACGTTTAATTCACATACTTGTAGGGTCGTCTTCAAATAGACCGCCTTCGTGGTCTAGCGTAGAGTGTCCGCCAGGGGAGCGGAAGGTCGGGGGTTCGATCCCCGGCCGCGTCATTCCTGGCGCTCGGTATTGAGGGGCTTAAACAAGGACTGCTCGGCTCGGAGTCAGTATATTGTGTTGGAGTGGGGGTATTCATAAGAAACTGTGGCATGGAATCTTTTGGGGTTAGCATTATAAAATAGACATTTGTTCGGACTAATACAAGCAGCCACACACGCACACACACACATAAATACACAAACGTACATGCACGTCGCGATATAAGTGCAATAATCTTGAACGCGACGACATTTAACTCACCTTTCATATGAAATGGTTAGCCAAAGACTGTTCTACATGACTGAAAAACAGCGGTATCGATGTAAAATTATCATTATATTATTATTATATTATTATTCACTCCGTACACTATTCAGTACTTTGAAACATTGAGTTCTACGTTCTCTAAAGTAGTGTGTAATCCATTAATCGAAACGGTTTAGTGGACTGTTCGTATAGGATCGCTACTTTAAATTAGACCTTGTTCCTCTCATTGACAAGCATGGATCCTCATCCAGTTAACATTTTATATCTATCATATATTTTATTCTCGTGTCAACATTATATGTAAGGAGCCGGTTTATGTTTTCTGTGTAACGATTTCCGTATCACAAAATAGATCTATAGGTTTCATAGTCGATTTTCACTATATAAAAGCAACAGAACCCTTTCCATAATCGATATATCATTGATGGAAGTCGATGAGTTTATAGTTTTAAATTAGTTCAAGAGGTTCTTCTAAATAAGAGTACAAAGTTCTAACTAATACATGTCTTATACGATGAGAATCAGGTTTGACATGTTTCAATAATTGTTTAGTTATAAAATAGTGACTCATATACGATTATTTTAGCTTACATTTCCAGTTAAGTCACTATGAACTTATATTTTCAAGATTAGACTAATGCGCTTAAAAATTTGAATATCCTTGAGCTGAAGTTTCTCTGTTATAATGTGATTATCTTTCGGAAATACCAACCGAAGATAATGCAAGAGGAGTTTAATTTTGATCAGATAAAATAAAAGATGAATCAAATACCGGTTGACTTATTCCATGCTGAATAATGCATGTACGAAATGTCACGTGCAGCGACATCCAATGTTTCAGGAAATTAAATATTGGTTTTACTTTCTGACATTTCGCATAAAACCCAATTACATGGTGCTTAAGAAAGGAATAAACAGATTCATTCAGTCATCCGTCAATCCATGTTCACCTTTATCCATGCATTATGCAACCTTCAGGGGAACGTGGGTAGTACACTTAAACACTGCCAGCCTTTACTGTGTATGAATGTTAATACGCCTTATTGGCGGAGATAGTAGAACTGATCTATAGTTTTCCTACGGACAAATAATTAAATAAAGACTGAATGTAATTTCTTTTCGAGTCTGTAGGGAATAAAGTGTCAACTTGTTTAGGGCCTACATGGGTGGGACTGTGTATCCCTGTCCTGCTAAAGCTAAGATTATGTTTCTTCTTAAAGGTTCTGATCAAAAAGCCATTTTCAAGAATTAACCATGATCAAGTTGCTACCGTCATTTCATGGCAAAAGCATTATGAGACTTTTTCACCCGAAAAAATAAATTCCAACTTTTAACTTTACCTTTTTGTGGACTGTGTAGGCCGTTTGACAAGAGGTAATGGACAAAAACAATGTAAATTATACGATGGGCTTTATCCATTAGGCATAAAAAACCTAAATGGATATCTATTACTCGGATAGATATCCCATCTATGGTCGTGTGGTTTGCATTAGAAGCGGCGCATGGAAACCACGGTTATATAATTGCACATTATGTCTTTTCCACTGCTACCGATGTCTTCTGAACAAAGGTTTAAGATCAAGTGTATTATTTTTACCTATTTTACCATCTGCCAGTTTTGACAGTTTTGGGCGAAATTTTTTACCTCGATGTTATTGTTAAGATTCTATACGCTTTTCGACACGATATAACTGAATCAGAACCATTTATATGATTAATTTCTATACGTATATTGTATTATTGTTATCCGGCACAGACGGCCATTGAACGTAAGACGCCGCAGTTCCATCTGGATTTAACCATTCCTGGAACCAATTCCAGAGTCTGTATGATTATGGTACTTGGTATGTCAGCCCGTACCCGAACTAGAAGGGTTTATCAAAGTGGTAACACCTGCGATTTGGATCATGTCGGGCTTTCTTCCATTACAATTTGACTCGCTATGTTACGCGCAAGGCTGGGTAAGATCCAACTCACTCACGAGTTCTAGTTTCGTGATGAAGATAACATGTACAGCGTTACAGAACATCCTCGAGACAGAGGCGTGCAGAGTTGCGTCCCTTGGGAGCGCCAGGAAACTATGATCGTGGGTTCGAATCCCGGTTCGTCCCGATTATGTTTCTTGGTTTGTTAGCACCATACCCGTGCTCGTGGGTTTCACAAAATGTTAACCGTCGAAGACCTGCCTCACTTCGGGCTTTCCTCCCACATTAAGCTGACACGCCGTGATATAACTGGAATACTGATCAAAGCTGACCACCTGTTCCATTAAGTTGCCTCTTATAATAAATATAAACCGTCAATGCCAGAAAATAACCAGTCTCGATTATTCGCCGAAAAACAGATTCCATTGGCGTAAAAGGCAACATAGTGGGTGACTGGATCACTGAAAAAACGGAGTCCCCAGGGGGGTGAAGAAGTACAATGGACAGAAGGTGTGATTGATCATGCTTCAAATATACATGGACTCTTTCCTTTGGAATGAACGGATTATTTTCTAAATTCGTATATTTGGAATACAATAGTATATTTTAACGTCGTTCATATATGTTAATCGGAGAAAACATGCAACATTATCAGCGTCACAATAAATGTAATGTATTTTTGTATGTAATCTACTGTTACTATAACGTACCTGTTATTAGTACGTTAACATATATAGACTGGCTGTTTAACTCTTTAGTTTAATCTGAACGGTAAACGAAAGCGACAAAATCGTTTTAATAATAATACCGTCACAAACACACGCTAAGGCAAGTCAGTTGTTCGTCTGAAAAAAACTCGGGAACATGTGGTACAAGTCAAAATAGGGAATTGCATCGGGTCACTGATGCGGAAATGTCCTCCACATGTCTACCTATAAAACGTTTTGGAAGCCTTACTGAGGCCTTCTATGCTATAACCTTGATCAAACAGCTTCTTGGCAAGGATTGTATGACGCTGTTTGAAATCTTCGTAGCAAGAGCATGCTCGATTGTTCCTCAAAAGTTGTGAAATGTAGAGGGCTGGAGCTGCAGGAATATATATTGCTCGACATGGAGGGAAAGTTGACTATTTGAAAGTTGAAGTCACCTCTCTTGTCATACACTCCCGTGGAGAGTATTTTATTTGTCACTCTAAATCTTTATGCTTAGATCTAATTATGAAACGGATGAAGCGGTCTCACTGGTCTCGTTTATTTCCAGTTCGGGTGGGTAAATCAGTGGAAGGCTATTTGATAGTTATTGAACGATATCAGATAATCGATATACCTGAAGCTTTAGTTAAACCTTTTGGCCAAATGACCATGTTTTCGCTTTGCCATTTCGAGCAGAAATTCTTATTCAGATGCATAAAGAAACAGATCGGCAAGAAGAGGAGCGCAATTGGTGCCCATGGGGATGCCCACTTCTTGTCTAAATATCTTACCCGAAATCGTTGTAAGACATCGTTGTACGATTCCGACATTTGTGTACGAAGTACTATCAAATAGTGATGACGACAGGTGTTCGCGACAATATGAGCGTATCCTTCCCCGCGGTTTGCACCCGTCATAAACACACGCAAAGGCAAGTCACCTGACAACACACGATAACATAGGAATTGCATCGGATGACATCTTGGTAACCGATGCGTCAATTCTGGAAATGTCCTCAGCATGTCTATCCTAAAACTTTTTCAAAGCTTCATTAAGGCCTTGACTGCTGTGACCCCGATCAAACAACTTTTGAGTATAACGCTCTTTGAAATCTTGGTAGAAAGAGCATGTTCGATTGTACCCCACAAGTTGTGAAATGTAGACACCAAAGACTGGAGATGCAGGAATATAAGTCGACGTAAAGGGAACTTTCAAGTCGTCTCTATTGTCCTTCTTCCTTGTGCACCGTGTTGAGTGTTGAATGTTGACAATGGATGGAGACACGTGTAGACCATGTACATTCGTACATGCGCATGCGTAAGTAGAACGTTGACAACGGACAGAAACACACGTACATACCTTCATGCAGGTACAGGCACAAGTGGTGTTGACAGACTAGAATATTTACACATTTGTAAATCATTTATAAATTTAACCACAGCCAAAATATAGGTATTTATATATAAGCAAGAAGATTGCACAGTACAACTTGGTGTTCATTATTGTAAACAGCCTCACACAAAGCAACACTATCATAAAATGAATACCTCTATCCTTGTTTATCTCAGCCTCGTTCTACGTACATATCATGGTAAAGATGATTTGTTTATCCTCTCCAGTGTTGATCCATTACGCAACTGTGAGATTGTACTTTACTTTCAACGAATCCGCTGCCTTTTTCCAATATAAGTGTTTTAT